TCCATGGAGCCAGGGCTTGAGAGGGAAGAGTTTGTCAGGGAGTCCCCCAATCCCTGCCTTATGGCCACCTTCAACTGGCAGGGAAGACCCGTGAGAGTTAGCAGAGATGCCCTGCCTCCACCCTGCTCTCTGCAGCAAAACATCCTTTTTCCTATCTTTGTACTGGTCCTTTCCACCCTCACCTGTGGCCCTGCAATGTGCCAGACAGCAGCTGTATGGAAGTGCAAAGTGATGGGTTTGGGCAGAGTGGCCGGGGGAGAGGTGGCTGGGCTTCTGGAGCATGGTCTGAGATCACTTGGTGACGTGGCCTCCAAGGTGCAGGGTTCCCTCAGCAGCAGGTCCCTGAAGGTGTATCACCTTGGCCTTGCTCTGGTTGTAGAGGTGAGGTGGTGGAAGCTGCAGTGTGGTGATCTCAGCTCTGGCAGGTGGGTGGTGCTGTCTTGGTTTGGGGTTGTCCTCCTGGGCAGGAAGGACAGCTCAACCTGCCTTTTCTTCCTGCTGCAGATGGCCGACTGCGGTGGCTTGCCCCAGGTGGTTCAGGTGAGACACACCTTGGCTCTCCCATGGCATTTGAGGGCAAAAGAGCCCTTTGTTCTGCTTGCACTAAAGCCACCCTCTCTGTTTCCACAGCCTGGCAAGCTGACGGAAGCCTTCAAGTACTTTGTGCAGGGAATGGGCTACAGTAAGTGGCAAACAGAATTTCGTGGTTTGGAGCAGGGTTGTCATGAAGGGAACTCAAGCTTTCTGGTCCATCTGAGCCCACTGGCACCTGTGTTCCTACCCTTGAGCTACTGTGGTTGCCAGGAGATCCATCCATGCTGGAAAATCAACTAGTGTGCTGACATGCCTTAGCAAGCTAGTGTTGTTCCCTGACATGTGTTGGTAAAACCTTTTAAGTTTGTCTTTGTGCCAATCCAGAAAAATGTGTTCCCAAGAACAGCAAGTCTGTGCATACCTTCTCCAAAGGGGAAAGAAGTAGCAGTGCAACCCCATGACTAGTCTGGGTATGAGAGTTCCCCCCTTTCTTCTCACATGTTCCTGTTTCTCTCAGACTCATCAGGGTTAAATTAATACTCCACAACAAATCCTCTAATGACAGAACAGGTTCCTGGGTGACTTCTGAGGCACCCAGGGAGCCCAGAGAGAGCTGTGCTTTGCACCAGTGCATGTCCTGCCCTATGGCTTCCTCACCATGCTTGGAGGCAGAAGACATTGTCACCTGAGTGTGTCAGACTATCAGCTGCTCAGCTCCCTGCCCTTGGTGTTCCTGAGGAATTGGAGGAGAAGGGCTTCTTTACTTATCTCCAAGAAGGGCTTTACTACTCAGGAACATCAGGAGAAGGGCTTCTCAGTGCACTACAGCAGCTCTTTCTTGCCTACTGGGGTCAGGAGTTCCCTTTTGTGGATAATGAGCCTTCAAAAGCTGGAGTTAGGGAAGAGGTTTGGTTTGTGTGACTGGCTGACCACTCAGCATGGCCACCATAAGAGCTGGGACACGAAGTGGTCTCCTCACAGCTTTGCCAGATCATGGTCAGGGCTCAGCAGAACCTGTCCTTTTCCTGAGGGCTCTGCAGATAACACAAACATGTAGGACAGTCATGTTGGCCAAAGGAACCTGATCCTGCAGAGGAAGATGCTGTGCAAGGAGGGTTCCTCAGCCTCACTGAGAGTGTTTCAATGTTCATGTCTCTTGTGTTCCTGGAGTTAGTAAAATCAGCAAGTGCTGTTGTTAGAGCAAGGGGGAGCAGCATTTCAGCAGCACTTTGGAGGTCAGCTCTCTTGTCAATAGGACATGCAGCCCTGGAGAAGAACAGGCCAATTTTCTCCTTCCCTAATTAGTAGCTGGTCCCAGAATAGTTTTCCCAGCTTTCATGGACAAGACTGTGGGACTGTGGAATGTGGTCAGTTCTCTTGGGGAGAACAAGGTAGAAGCAAAACAGCTGGGCACTGATAGAAATACAGAAATCAGTTCTCCAGCAGCTGTTCACTGCCTTCTATACATGGGCTGAAGCAGCTGGATGTACTTCTGCTGACACTGCAGATGGAAGTACCAGCCTTGAAGGAGAATTGCATCAGGAGTCTGATGCTGTCATCCCAAAGACATGAATTTCTGTCCCATAGCTGGAGTTACACAGTGTACCCCGGGGAAACCATATTTCTGTTGAACAGGTGTGGGTTGTGCAGTGGGGAGTTATTGTCGTCAGGTACAGTGTGATTTTCAGCTAAAGGCATTGAAGAGATCTGGCCCTGATGGGTTTTTAGGTGAGCTTGGCATCTCCTTGAGATGCTTATTAGCAGCTGTTCTTACAAATCGTGGGAGCTTTCAGTGCAGTGTACGAGCTGGGAACAGAAGGAAAGGTAGCTGGGGGTCCCAGGAGTAGTGCAGCCACTCGTCACACACCGCAACTAATGGGCTCTTTCCTGTATTCATCCCTTTCCTTGTCTCATGTTGTTTCCAGTCCCTTATGTGCAGCTCAGCCACCTAAGCACTGAGTCAGGTACCTCCAACCGTGCATCCACCTCGGCCCTGGTCTGTGTGCTGAGTGGAATTGTTCTCCGGGTGCTTTGCTGTCTCAGCATGTCCTGCTGTGGGTGGGCTGATCATTGTACAGTGCGTGCTATGGGTTTCCACCTTTCATTTGTATTTTGTTGATTGTTGCATGACATCAGCTCTGTGGTTTTCTAGAGTGATGAGACTAACTTTCAAAAGGTCATCCATGCCACAGCTGCCTTGGTTTGCACAGACACTGGCCGTGGCTGCACTTGCAGAGGATCAGTTACACTGCTGGCATTTTCTCACCTTGGACCTTTTGAAATTAGGCCTTAAACATCTTGCTTTAGACATGCAGAGACTTAATTTTGGCAGTGAAGAGTGAGTTTTCTTCCGAAGGGTGCAGCTCTTTCTGTGCTTACCCCGGGACACATACCTGAGTGACTGTGGTCTTGGCTCCAGGGGCTGCCTCCTTGTCTGAGTCCCATGTTTGTTCTGTCTTGCAGTGCCAGCAGCCAGCATGACCCGGTTGATGCGTTCCCGTAGCCACTCCTCCTCCAGCGTGGGCTCTGGCGAGAGCAGCCGCAGCCGGTCTCATGCCAGCACCCACGGGGAAGGGAGTGCTGGAACCCCAGAAGGAATTGACCTCCAGGCTGCACCTCAAACCATGGAAGTATCCTGTTAGGCAGGAGCCCCTCTTCTGGATTCAGACAGCTCCACTCACCCCACTGAACCCACTCAGAATTTAGCATTTCATCCAATATGGCATTAACTGTTCTCTCTAACCTGTGCATGCCCATCTGAGCAGCCACCTCCTTGGTAGTCTGTACTTGACATTACTTTGATCTTTTCTGTATCCCCTTGACATCAGAGTCTCTTTAAAACTCGTTGACATTCCACAGTCTTTGTAAGTCCCATTACTGTACATGCTGATGCCATCTCCTGTCTGTGCTGTGTATCAATCCAGATGACAGCCATTGTCTCCCCTCTTCATTTAAATATAATTTCTGTGGCTTTGTGAGGTTTAGAATTGCTTCCTAGTTGTGCTTCTGCTAAAGGACATGTGTGATGCAGTTGGTATGTCATTGGTGGGACGTGGGAAAGTAAGACCACGAGGATGAGGCACTCCAGGCACTGGAGTGGGCAATGCAGTGTGGAGCTGTACCTGGGACACAGAATCCACTGGAAGATCTCTGTGTCCCCAGGGCTGTTTCACATGCCATGCAGGCTGAGAATAACAAATGGTCAGGAATACTGGTTTGGTCTTACCTGTGTATGTGTGTTAAGAAGGAGCAGAGTGATTTCTTACCTGAGCCTCCTGAAAAAGCAAAGCAATTAACCAATAGACTACACTAACAAGGTGCACTATTGACCTAGTACAAGGGATTAAACTCCAGTAGCCCTGGCTCTAGACCACTTCTGCAACCCTCTGCTGACCCTGCAGAAGGGCTGGATGCAGTGACACATAGTTGCTGTTCTCCCCCGGCACAGGTGAATATTTAATATTGAGCAGGTTGTGAAATGGGAAGCAATGCCTCTTGCCAGGTGGAGATCTCAGAATCTCCTGCACTGCCATCTCTGTATCCCACTGCCACTGCCCCAGGCAGCATCTGCACAGGATGCAGTTACATGGGGGCAGGGAACACAGTGAGTGTGGCAGCCAGAAATCACACATTCCTGTGAATCATGTCAAAAGGGTGAGCAGTGAACACCTCTGTGCAGATAGCAGTTACTGTCTTTGTGGAATTCACAACTATGGTACCTTTTTACACCTGGCTGGGTCATCGAGGGTGGGCAGCAGATGCCTGCTGCCAGGGTCTGGTGTTAATGGGAGAAAAGGGATGAGTGGTCAGGCTGCTGCAAGTCTCAATTGATAAGCAAAACCTTTCCTCACTGCTGAGCAGCCTTGACCTAATGGGAGCCAACTCCTCCCAGGGTCATGCTCATTTTCTGCTCCATTTCAGGTAGGGAATGGGACCGGGAGGCTCCGCCTGAGGGGGACTTTGTACCGGTTATTGAATAAAGCTATAACTGAGTTTCATTGTTATGCTATGTGCTCTTGGTGGTTTTTTTTTTGGCATGACCTGCACCCCTGGGGGTTTGGCAGTCTGAGTGTTTCTTGCTGCATACAGCAAACATCCCCAGGGCAGGGAGAGGACTGGGCAACTCTGCACCAGAATAATGTGGTTGGTGGCCCTGTGGCCCCTGGCAGAAGGCTGTCCAAGGGCATTGGAGAGCTGGCCTCTGTCAAAATGCAACCAGAAACATCCAGGATGGAAACAATAGGTTTGCAGCAGCACAGGCTACAGGGCTGCTTCTGGCTGATGCTGCTCCCCAGTCTGTGCTGAGCCCCTGCCGTGGGGCCTCAAAAGAGCAAACCACAATCAGGTTCTCGCAGCTTTGGGTTACAAGAGACAGCCTGCAAAAAGAAACAGGGCTCCATCACACACTGTGAGGAGATTCCACCAGGTTCCACTGTGCAGATGGCTGGTGGCACCAACGCCACCCAATGTCCCAGCCATTCCCTATCACCTACATTGTTCTGAAGGTGCTCATGGTATGGGGCTGGTACAGCAGCCACAAGGCCCATGGGGAGAAAGGTGATGCCTGCCGCTTCTGTAGGATGGTTGAATCCCTGTAGTGTGTAAGAGCGCATCAGGCAGTGGGGCTGAGCAGAACAGGGTCCTGGACAGCCCAGCCAAGTGCCCTTTGCCCTGTGCCTGCCAGGCTGCTGTTGCCTGTCGGTGCACTGTGGCAAGTGCTCTGCCTCGGCCTCAGTGACTCACTGCCACATTCACCGGCTGGGTAATGGATGCCTTTACATGTCGTCCTGGCTCACCTTCCCCAGCCTGCACAAATTGGTGGGCCCCTACTCTGGTAATGCCCTGGCAGCCCTCCAGCACCCTGAGCAGTGTGTGGGGAGATGTCCTGTGCCCTGAAAGGAGGGAGGGGGAAAAGGTGGCAGCTGATCCCCCCTGCCCAGGTGCGCCCAGGTTGGGGGGCAGGGCTGTACCTTGTTGAAGCTGTTGACTCACTGCCCACAGTTCAGCGAGGGGCTCTGCTGCCCCATCTGTGAGCCCTGCCCCATGGAAGGGCCAAGGGCAGCCCCAGCTCCCACAGCACTCACTGTCCTCAGGAAGCCATCACTTCACTGAGACAAGATTGAGAGGTGAGGGAAGCTGGGACAGGGGCTGGGCCTCCCCTCACCTGACCCTCGAGGGGCTGTGGGCTGCCTTTCTACTACTCCTGTGAGCCCTTTCTGCTCTCAAGCAGCTCCCTCCAGTTCTCGGAGACCACATCCCCACCAGAGGACTCTCCCATCAGCCAGAGCCTGAGGGAAGCCATCAGCTTTTGCCTGATTCTCTCAGAGACTGACACCCCTGAGCCAGACCCCACAGGAAAGGTGGTTGTTGTAGATAAGTTATGTAATAGTTAGCTTTCACAGTTAAGAGATAGATATTATGTGGATGTATAATGATGTTACTGTAATATGTCCTCCCAGAGACCTCTTTCCCCTTGACCTTGTAATAACCTTGGTAGTGAGGGCATTTGGGAGGGCTGGCTCCTTACCAGGAGGTGCAACATGACAACATGACCTGGCCTCCAATCAAGATGCAGGAAAGTAATCTCCACCAATTGATGTCAGAGATGGACTTGACTGCCAAAATTTTGGGAGGCACTAAAGAGTATAAAAGGCAGAGTATCCATTTTATAGATGAGCACATGGCTGCTAGTTACGGAGACTCCCAGCACTGAAATCTTTCCTCATTCAGTCCTTTGTTGTAATTTTTGTTAAGGCTTAATAAACCTTTTAAAATTTTTAAAGTGAGGATCATTTCTCACATAGTGAAGAACAGCTGAGGACAGGGTCCCCACTTGGCCAGAGCTCTGTGGAGGACACCCATCCCCCATCTCAGCCTTCTCCTACTTTCAGCCACAGACTCTTGTTCGTGCTGGGGCCCCTTGACCGGAACTTGAGACAGCCAAGACCAATGTGGACCACCTGTACTCTCAAAGCAGCAGAGAGAGGATAGAAATGTTCAACAAACCAAATCCTGGCCCAGGTGGAGGAACAGCCCAAGCCTATCAGACCTCCCAAGTTCAAGCACAACTGTTTTAGGGGCAAGGGTGTCTGTGCAGGCCTGTGAGCAGCAGCTGGGGACAATCAGAGAGTTTTCACCCCCATAACTCACCAGTTTGCTTGCTGGGACCAGCAGCCAGGGGGAACCAGCCCCTGACTGTGCCCATAGCAGCTGATTTTTAAACCTTTTAACGCATAGATCGTAAATTCCGTATAACAGGATCCTGCTGGACATGCAGCAATAACCATCTGTTATCAATTAAAAGGCACCTTGTTCACAGCTGAGGTGGACCTATTGTGACTTGCCCACGGGGCAAATTTCACTGCCACAACCTGGGGAATTTGCTCCTGCCATGGCCCTTGGCCCCAGCTGGAGTGAGCAGGCAGCCACCGGCGGTGCTGGTCCTCAGCCAACTCTCTTCAGGCAAATTCATGAGCCCAATAGGTTTAAATGTGTAATTTAACATGCACAACTGCTGTTCTAGGAACAATGGGGAAAGAAATGGGTCTGTGCCAGGAATAGATTATTCAAAGAAGCAGAATGCAAATACTCAGGTACAGCACTGATCCCAGCTACACTGCAGGGCTGAGGGGCCTGAACAGCAGTAGAAAGGCCTCAGAGCAGCCACACTTATGAGCTTTCAACAGGCTCTTATCAGCAAAGCTGGAGCTTCCTCTGTGGCTAGAAGTGGTGCAGAAGCAATTTTGCTGCTTGGCACAATCCCTCTCTGCACCCTGAGGCCGGTGCAGCAAGACCTGCCCCTAACCCAAAAAGCTGCAGGTGTCCTGCTTGGACGTGCTCCAATCCCTTCCTCATTTTCCTATCTGATGAGCTCAATCTTGCAACCTACTATAGTTTTCTTGTTCCCTTCTCCACCCAGAGCTTTACAGACCTGCTCAGCCCCAGCCTCCAGCCCAGGTGGCCTCAGCACAGAACAGGCTGGGGTTTGTCCCAGGCCTGGTCCTGCTGTTGTCACACTTGGGGCCCCAAGGTAACTCAGAGAAGTTTAGCATAGTTTATTTTTGGTATTGATCCATATTGTATGAACCAACATGGCTCTTGGGTTCCTCCCTCCACCACCAATCTGCACCCAGGTTGTTGGGTACATTTACACAAAAGACCACAGTCAAAAGCCTGCTGCTCTGCTATTTGTAACCCGGAGCCAGATAAAATGGGATGGATGTGGCTGTTAAGGCTTTTTAAATCCTTCTCCATTGCCAGCAGCCTCTGAGGCCTCCAACTTCCCTGTCCCGAAAATCTCCTTGTCCTGGGCATGTGCCACTCATGCTGGGAAATGTCTTCCCAGAGCACTGCCAGGCCTTTTCCCTGCCTCTTATGGTGAATGCTGCAGCCTCTAAACACCACGGTCACGAAGCAGATGTTAACAGACAGCTGAAGCACAGAGTGGGTCCAACAGCTCCCAAGAGTAGCAGCGCTCCGGCAGCCCGAGGAGAGCAGAGCAAGAATGCTGACCATGGGGCTCCTCTCCCAGGCAGTGCAGGACAGGGACACTGAAGGCTCTGTAGTGACAGAACAAACCCCAGCAAGACCACAAGTGCTAGGACAGGGGAGGACCCAGCAGCTACCCCAGCCACTCCAGCGTGGGCAGCTGTGAAGACACAGCAGATCTTCTCCAGTGGTGTTGCAAGTTCCCAGGATCCTCACAGGGGAGAGGGGCTTCCCATCTGCTCCCGTGTTCAGGGTACCTTGCAATTGTGACTCGTGGCCACTTAGGCCAGATCAGCCACACCGTGGGCAGCACAGACCTCCCCACGAGCCACGTCACCACTTCCTCTGGAGTGACAAGTGCTTCGTGTTACAAACTTCTCTGGAGATGGGAGTAACCCAGATTCTCCTTAAAAGATCCCTTGGAGTGGATTACAGTGAAATGATACTGAAATGCTCAATGTGTATAAATACATGTACACAGGGTTTATTTTTGAACAATTTGTCTGCAAAGGGAAGCAAGTATGTAGCCGTTTTGATTATTATTTGATTATTATCTATAGTAATATAACAACATGAAAGCATTGCAAAATTGTCACTAAAACTGCAGGAATAAAAGAAACTCCTGAATACCATCTTTCAAGTGTGAGACAATCAGGCATTATTTTATTCCAGACGGGATGTGCAGGAGAAATCATTCCAGCTCACCCAGTTCTTTGCTAGACTTTTCACGTATTTATACATTTAAAACCCAAATAAATTCTCATTCATTGGGTTCTGCATTATACAATTCTCAGTACTCTAGCTCTTATTGGATCCCTTCACCTTCAATGCTAATTTAGTCCTCATTCTTTGGTTCTCGTATCAATCTTTTTCCAGATTAGATGACTCCAACATAATGAGGGCATATTTGTTAATGTCTGTTTATCTTCTCTGTATCTTCTTGCTACTCCCAACCTGTAGATGTTGATTTTTGCTGATTGAAGCCTATCAGGCCTCAATGAGCAAAATTCAAACCCTCGGTGAGTAGTCTTTTGAAGAGAAACCTCAATTCCACCACCCTCCCCTGACCCCCACTTCCCCTTTGGCAAAGGCAAACAAACACATGACTAAAGTTACTTTGAAAATTGTAAAAGTTACATAATTTCCAACAAAATAAAACCACAAAAATATCACCCAAGGACGCGTATAAGGGAAAAAAGGGAGGGAGGGAGGGAGGGAGGGAGGGAGGGAGGGAGGGAGGGAGGGATGAGAAGGTGAAAATCTCACCACCCAGTCGGCCTTTGGTGAGTCTTGATAGTTGGAGCTTAGCATCTTTCCCTGCAGCAGCATTTGCTGGGATCAAAGGGATTTCGAGGAGCTACAAAGCAGGCAAAGTGTCTTCATCAGTTCTGAGCCTCTGTGCAAAGCACATGGCTGTGCCTGGAGCCCAGACTCAGAGCAGCATCCACCCAACCCTCGCCCCAAGGGCACAGAAACCACCTGTTCAGGAGCTGGTCCTTCCCTGGTGTCCTTTGTCATGTCTGTTTAAAGCTCCATGACTTACTCACCAAGTCACCAGCATGGAAGCCCTGAAGGTACACACAGCTTCCACTCCCAAGCCCATGCAGCCCCTCAGAAATGGATATGGAGCATTGCAATGCTCCATGGCCCCTTTCACCTTCTCCTTTCACCCCAACAGCACACAAGCACCACCAGCAGGAAAACTCCTCAGCAGGACAGGATGAATCCCAGTTTTGCTGGTTTGTTCTCAGTTTTTTCTGTCTGCTTCTATGTTGTAAAAGGAAAAACAAAGTAGTATTTACTGTTGAACTGTTTCAATGGAACCTTGTTCTGGGTTACTCGCAGCAGGTATTACCCAGACAAGAGCTGTACACAGTTTTTTCCCTTCACAAGAACTGCTGTGCAACCAGAAGGATTAGCACAAAGCTGTCAAACACTGCTGAACAACTGCAATGCCCCGCAGGGCACCAGAACCCCACTGGGAAATGAGCGCAAGGACCACCCGCAAGCACTCCCACAGCAGGATGAACAACAGGCAGCAGCAGCATGGATGCTGCACTGGCCATCAGAATGGGCATGAACATGACCCATGGGCTGGACAATGCTCAGCAGCAGATCCTGTAATTACAGGTGGTGCTTTGGTCAAATAACAGCGAGAATTTGGAGACTCTACCCACATGAAGGCCCACTGTTGACTGAGAGCTGCCTCCTTCTCTGAGTTTGCATCTACAGAAATCTTCCAATCAGGCAAGTAAATAAATCAGAGGGCACATCAAAACATGACAAGCCACAGCACACATCCCATTGAATTACTTCAAATCCAGGCCACAACTTCAAAACCTGATTTTGACATTTAAATGATCATCAAATACCTGCATGATGACACTGTGCAGTGAGACACACTGAGATCTGCCATCAGTGGCTCAAGTCTCTCCAGGCTCCAGCAGTGATGCACCCTCCAGCCTTAAAATCCAGTTTCACAAGAATACTTTTAACTTTTTGTTTTTTTGAGAACGAAATTAGAAAGCAAAATTTGGTAGGACAAGGGAATACATCTGCTTTCCTCCCACTGGGGAAACTGAGAGGAAAGAGATGGAACCTGAAGGTACATCAGTGCCTGTCCCTGCCTTCAGGCACCCTGGGCCAAGTACACTGCTTCTCCACCCTCCCCAGCTTCGTCCTCTTCCCATGCATTTTCTCTATATGGATTGTTCAACTGCGTCCAGAGCTCCCTGCTTCACACCATGCAAATGCTGTGTTTCCTCTGTGAGCTGCTGTGGCTGTCCCTGACAGGCTGCTCATCCAAGCAGAACAAAAATTAGGGTGAGATCACACATACTAGACACTAATATATTACATATATTGGTACTGATATATTATATGTATTAGGATTTAGGAACAAAAT